GACGATCTTGGGGTGCTCGAGGCGCGCGCAGAGACGGATTTCGTTCATAAATTCCTGCAGCCACACTTCAGAACGCGAGAAAATGAGGAATAAACGTACCTGGATCGCGTTGTGGTCCTTGGCCTTGGACGGCAGTAGCTGCTTCATGGCGACCTCGTCCTTGCCAAACGACGCGTGGAAGACGACGCCGTACCCGCCCTTGACGAGGAGCGACACGTTTTGGATTTCGTTTTGAGGAATCCGGAACTGCGAGAGCTCCTCGTCGAAGCGAATGTCGTTGGCGACGCGGAAGCCGTCGGGGTTGCCAAAGTTGTCGAGCGCAGTCATACCGCCGGCCTCCGTCTCGTTGATGTAGTCAAACTTGTGTTTGGCTGCGTCATTCTTGGCCTTGAGCTTGTAGATGACAGCAGCGAGAATGAAGAGGACGGCGCAGGCGATGCCGATGATCACATACATCGTGCTGCCGTTGCCCGAGTCGGCGACCGTGTCCGTTGGGAGCGGCGCCTGCGTGCAAATGAGCATGCCCTGTGACACTTTGGAGTCGCGCTCGATGAAGAAGGCCATGCCTGTCGGCGACTGCCCGCAGCTGGAGACCATGTCGGACTGGAACGACGTCGAGTTGAGCTTCCGGCACCCGCGGCAGTTGTCTGCACTCATGAGCTTAAGCGGCAGCGTTTGGCATTCGCCGACTGCCTTGACGAACGTCGCGACCAGCGTCTTGCAGGTTGCCTCGCAAATCGTCGGGAGGAGAAGGCCCGTGCTGGTAACGGGGCACGAGGGCACGATGGACGCGGCGAGGTTCGTGATCTGCGAGCACGCGGGCGTCGAGCAGTATGCGTCGATCGTCGTGAGGCGGCAGTTGGCGAGCGCTGGCGTCTTGGTTGCGTTCGAGAGATCGGCGTACTGCTCGTAGAGGGCCGAACAGTTGGGCGTCGTCTGGGCGGTCGCGGCAGCGACCGCCATCGCGAGGAGCATAACACCACGCTGCATCATGGGTTGGGCAGAAACAAGTCTGCTCAAACTCTGGCTCTGGCCGCAACCAACTTCGAACTTCGATAGTATTACAATCCCAGGTGGCAATTCGTTGAATTGCGGCGGGTCGTCGCCGTGGCCAATGTTGTTCGGTTGTTGCGCAGCTTGTAGCTTGTAGATGTCATTGCTCGGGTTGTGACGTCGACCCAGTTTGCACTTGCGACGACGATCCATTGGTCTCGGAATCTCGGCTGCTTCGCGGTTGAGGAGCCGCGACCGAGCCCACAACGTCCGCAATGCAATCGAATGTCCCCAAATACTGTTTCTGTATTTGTCTCGCATGGCGATGTCCTCGACTGTCTGCCATTGTACGCTACATACCGGCTTTGTTACTGGCAACGTCCTGTCAATCTCCTGGTGCTTGTTCGTCATGATGCTCTAGCAGTGGCTTTCCCACGTTGTGCGCTCCGTGGATGGACTGGGCAGTGCATTCGCATCTATCACGGGCGGCTACATGTAAGCAAGGTACTGGGCAAAACTCACAGAGTGAGTGCTCTGTCGGTACACAGGTACTATACGCGCCGAGCGCGTCACCGTCGTTTGGAACCATCTGTCCGTCTCGAACAGGGACTTTCGAGGGTCTCGTACCAATTTATTTTGAAAGTGCATACCATTTAAATGTGTCGCCTTCATGGTAGTCCTATCATAAACGCACAATAATAATATTCTAGTTTTCACGTGTTGCCCCGTTTTGACAGACGAGCGTAGCGATCAACGTGGAGCATTTCCGCTCTGCCATGACGGCGTGCAATGACACGCTAGCAGCTTTCTGGGTCGACCGCCGGGCCTGCCTTCTCTCGGGGAAGCCGGCAACGAATGCATCGACGTACTGCGCCGAGCCTGCGTGCGTTCGCCAGCTCACGTCGCTCCAAGTCGCGCTACAAAACCAGTGCAGCGGCGTCGCTGACGCAGACATTCCCAAGGTACCGTCCGCTAGCACTGGAAGCTCTCTTAGGACTACGCTAGGTGCTCGGCGCCCGCCTGACGCCGTCGTTTTGCCTGCTTGCGTGCGTCAATGTCTTTGAGACGCTCCAGCAGTCCCAGGCCGCTTGCACACGAAGCGGCGCCAAGACCGTCGCGCAGTGCAGTGCGTGCACCTCGTACAAGCTCACAGTACCCAAGCTCGTGCAGGGCTGTCAATTTAACGCGTCGTCAGCGAGCTTGCTGGCCACGATCGCAGGGGACAGCAGCGAGTGCGAAACCAGTGTCGCCAACGCGTCCTTTGACAGTACATAGCGTCGTGTCAGTCTTGCGGCTCTCACGTTTTGTGCGCAGGCACGGACGCAAACTCTGCAATTTACTGGGTCCTCGGCGCACTCGTCACGTGCATCGTCGTCGGTCTCGGTGTCTATCGTCATCTGAAGCGCAAGAACGTCGTCAAGAAGGACCTCAACTACTATCGCAAGCAAG